CACCCCAGGTGTTACATGCAGCGCGTGCACACACGGGCCATTTTGAAGGCCCGACGGTGTTCAGGCCAAAAGCCTGAACTTCAGGCGGAAAGCCTGAATTTCAGGCCGAAAGCCTGAAATCCAGGGCTTACAGGCCCCCTGTCGGTTCAGGCCAAAAGCCTGAAGTCCAGGGCCTATCCCTGGTCGTTTCAGACTAAAAATGGCAACAGCCTTTTTAGCCTGAAACGAAGGGCCATTTTCGGTCGTTCATCAGAACGACCGGCCCTGAAACTCAGGCACCGAACCAGGGTTTCGGAAATAGACTATTATTAGTCTGTTTCCCATGCCAGCCTCAAGCAGGCTGCTGCACGCCAGCCCCTGGCACACTTCGGCATTGGCAAGAGCTGCCTCCTCGGCCTGACTGGCCTCCAGCACTCAGGAGGCAGGCCGAGGTAGTACATAGGACTTCCTAGGCACTTCCGAGGTAGGCAGTTGGCAGTAGTAGTCTTCAGGATTTGGGAGCAGCACTCTGGAGGGAGCGCTGCGTTGTAGTAGTTGTAGCGTTAGCTAGTAGTCTTCAGCGCTGGGCGCAGTAGGTAGCTGTAGTCTCCAGCGCTGGGCGTCATAGCTAGGTAGCACTAGAGAGAGAGAGAGAGAGCTTGGGCGGAGGCCAGAGGTACCTACCTGCAGCGCCGTTGCTCCAGCTTCGTCTTCGAGGTACCTGCAGCACAGCGCCAACATCNTCCCATGCCAGCCTCAAGCAGGCTGCTGCACGCCAGCCCCTGGCACACTTCGGCATTGGCAAGAGCTGCCTCCTCGGCCTGACTGGCCTCCAGCACTCAGGAGGCAGGCCGAGGTAGTACATAGGACTTCCTAGGCACTTCCGAGGTAGGCAGTTGGCAGTAGTAGTCTTCAGGATTTGGGAGCAGCACTCTGGAGGGAGCGCTGCGTTGTAGTAGTTGTAGCGTTAGCTAGTAGTCTTCAGCGCTGGGCGCAGTAGGTAGCTGTAGTCTCCAGCGCTGGGCGTCATAGCTAGGTAGCACTAGAGAGAGAGAGAGAGAGCTTGGGCGGAGGCCAGAGGTACCTACCTGCAGCGCCGTTGCTCCAGCTTCGTCTTCGAGGTACCTGCAGCACAGCGCCAACATCACAGGTTAGTATCTGGTTCGTAACAAAGAGAGAGAGAGAGAGTTCTTCTTCTTCTTCTTCTCAGTCCACCATCTCTTCTCTCCCTCTCACTTCTGACTTCACTGCATCTGCAGACTATGARAGAAGAGATACAGAGCTTGGTGACATTTGACCCAGACTCGACTTTCGGGGGTTCAGACATGGCAACGAGGGACTATTTGGGATTGGTGACCAAGACTTGGTGTTAACGACATTCCCATCTCCCTCCCTCCTTTCGTCTGATCCTTATCTCTTCGTCTGTGTATGTCTGGACCTGGCGCTTTCTTCTTGTGTGCAGCGCCAGGCTCCTTCACACTCGGTGATGGATACAATGCATGTTTAAGTCTGAGTTCAACATTGATTGGGCTAGTTAGTAGCACTCTAGCATTATGCTTCGTTACTCTGAACTACGTGGATGAGGTCAGTCCTGTCAGGTCAGTCTTTCAGAGAACATTTCGTACTTCAAGGGAGATTGGGAGACCTACCGAACTTGCAAAAATCGGGATTTTTCTTATTTTTACTTTTCTCGAAAATTTTTGCGAAGTTCAAACTTTTTTGTTTTGATTAGTGGCTCCTTATGTAAGTGTGAGTTGGGCGATTATCCCACCCACCCCTCCCCACCTATGTTGTTGCCATCTCTCGCCTTGCCGTTTCTGTTTGTATCTGGGTACCCCTGCGGCGGCATTGGTAAGTTGCCACGTCAGCAGGCCACGTCAGCAGACCACGTCAGCAGGACACGTCAGCAAGCTACGTAAGTACGTCCGCAGACCACGTCAGCAGGCTACATCAGCAGGACACGTCAGTAGGACAAGCATTGCCACGTCAGCAGCAAGGGATACCACATCAGCAGGCACCGGTCTGGTCTATGCTGTTGCGTTCACAGACAGCAGTCATGGACCAGAAGGCCGGGGAAACAGACGAGGCCTATCAGGCCCGCATGTTAGCCTCGAGTACCGAGACAAAGAAGCGGGCAGATGACGTTGCCGCAGCAACAAAGAAAAGGGCAGAGGATGCCGAGCAGGCACGTCTGCTGGCGGTTGAACAACAACGCCAACATGATGAGGCAGCAGCAAGGGCTGCGGATGAAGAGAGAACACAGCGTCGTGAGAAGATATTTCCTGGAGAGCGGGCATACCTTACCATGGCAGCAGAATGGTGAACTGAGGCCGAGAATAACCAGTTGGAGGATAGCGCAAACAAGATAGCGCTCCTCCTCTCGCATCTCACGGATCTCCTGGCAACCTGCATTACACGGCAGGCAGAGATCCTTGGTCTCGACAGATCGCTAGCTCATCTCCAAGACCGTTTTCAACGGTTGGAGCAGCGACCAGTCGCCGCCGCCGATGCAGGCTCTTCCAATAATGCTGACCGCCTCACCGCATTGGAGATGCACGTCGGCTCCCTCCAAGATGGCGCACAGTTACAGCAAACCGCGACGCAACAGTTGCAGCAGCGGGTCTGCACTACCGCCACCACCTCGAGTCCGGAGCCGCGCGAGACAGCTCCTAAGTTCGATGGGCAGGAGATCTTCCACGACTCAATCAAGACAGATCCAATTCCATGGCTTCGCAAGTTCGAGCTCACGCTCCAGCTCCACAACGTCAAGGAACACAAGCACCACGCATACTTGTACTCTCGCTCAGGGGGCGCGTGCCAGGCTTGGTTGGACAACCTGTTGTCCAAGTATGGAGTGGTAGCTAATGACTTGCACACCAAGATCACCTGGGATGATCTAAAGGCGGCGTGGCACAAGCGGTTCCAGGTGGAGCCGCCAGAGATCAAAGCCGAGTACGGACTGGATCGCCGAGTACCAACGCTTGACGTCAGTCCCAGACATCCAGATGGGCTTCAATGCCATCCGCCACTACTTAATCTCAAGGTCATGTCCGACATTGAGCAAGGCCCTGACACATGTCGAGGACACCTTGACGACGACGACGGAATTATTTGACAAGGCTGCGCAAATCATCGTCACGAACAAGGAGGCCAAGAACCTCCATTCATCTGCGTCAGGCCCGAGCAGGGACCAACATCGGCCAAGAGTGGCCGTGGTCGCAGCGGCAGCGCCGTTAGACTAAACCAGCGAGGCTGCGTCTGCCAGTGAAGGAGACAGATTCGCAGCCGCCCAGGAAGGTGGCCGCGCCGGCAGAGGCTGAGGGCGCGGCAAGCCGAAGACACACACCGTTTCTAGCCCCGGGCCCGGTGCAGCAGCTCAGACAGGCCCATGGACCCCGTATGGCATTTCCGAGTCTGCATACAAGGCGCGCGAGAGATTCCACTATTGCCTTTGGTGCAACAATGATCTTCATCAGATGCAGGTTTGCCCATTGAAAGACAAGGGGCAGACAGGGAAACTGAGCACCGCCGAGAGTGACACGACGACACTCTCGACGCCTTCGGAACTGGTTTCTTTGCGAGTAACCAGCCTTCATTCCGAGGCGCACGCGGAAGTCGACAGTCCTCCGCTTCTACTTTCTTTTGAGGACTATGCTGATCGGCTCGTTCCAACGCTGGGTACTAAAGCTCAAAGACAAGGAGTGTGTGTGGTTTCTTCTCCGTCCGGCAACAGCGACAGATCGTCTTCAAGTGGTTCGTCATGGGATTCGGCGCGCGAGTTCAAAGTAGAGGCATTAGACCTGCTCACGTCTGAGGACTTTGCATGGCTTCCTCTCCCGACCACAGGCTGTTAGCCGGGACCGCAATGCGCAGCACTTAGCGCTCATCTCCACACTTACCTTTCCTTCTATGCACCACCAACTTCGCCGACGGATGAGGAAGTCGCGGTGGGGGACATCCTGGCATATATTACCAAGGTGGCCCGCGAGTTTCGCACGCAGCGGTACGATAACAACAATGCACCGCTCATGTATGTCCGCATCCAGGTTGGGCAAGCATCCTGCAGCGCTTTGCTGGATAGCGGCGCGTCTAGCAACTTCATGAGCCAGTTTTTTATGCAAAGAGCTGGCCTTGGCGCACAAGTTCGGAGGAAGGCAAACCCGACGGCGATCAAGTTGGTGGATGGTAAGACGCAACAACTTCTCGACCATTACATCGAGGCCGTACCGGTCTACTTCGCACCTCATGCATGCGAACCGATAACATTCGATATTCTCGACACGGACTTCGACATCATTCTGGGAATGCCTTGGCTCGCAAGTGCGGATCACATGGTCAACTTCCATCGGCGGACTCTTAGCGTTCGCGACGCCCTCGGCGCGGAAGTGGCGTGTACTATTCCTCTACCGCACTCTTCGATCCGGTGCCAAGTGGTGACGGCCAAATCATTCCGGGCGACTTGCGCTTACGAGCAACTCGAGGAGATCGGCCTATGTTTCCTACGGACCGTCGTGGTAGCCGACTCTTCACCCACGGACTTGTCTTCGGACCCCCGTGTGGTACGGTTGCTGGACGAGTTCGCTGACATCTTCGAGTCACCTACCGGTGTGGTGCCGGGTCGGCCGATCTCTCATGAGATCATTCTTGAGGCCGGTGCCGTGCCGCCGAAAGGTTCCATCTATCGCATGAGCGAGGAGGAGCTTGAGGTACTCCGCGCACAACTCGATGATTTGTTGGCCAAGGGCTAGATCCGCCCGAGTAGCTCCCCATATGGAGCACCAGTTCTTTTCGTCAGGAAGAAGAACAAGGATCTACGATTGTGCATCGACTACTGCAAGCTCAATGCGCAAACCGTCAAGAATGCGGGGCCTCTTCCTCGCATCGACGATCTTCTCGAGCGACTGGGCGGTGCGAAGTATTTTTCCAAGTTGGATTTGAAATCAGGATATCATCAAATCTCGATTCAGCGGAACAATCGCTACAAAACCGCCTTCAAAACGCGGTACGGACATTTTGAGTGGGTGGTCATGCCTTTTGGCCTCACCAACGCCCCGGTGACGTTCCAAGCGACGATGACCAATGAGTTTTGTGCAATGTTGGACCAGTTCGTGCTGTTCTACTTAGACGATATTCTCGTCTACAGCCGGACATTGGAGGATCATCTTGGACATCTTCGACGAGTGTTGGCGACGCTCCGCCGTGCCAAGTACAAGGCCAACCGCAACAAGTGCGAATTTGTCCGGCAAGAGCTGGAATACTTGGGCCATTTTGTCACACCTGAGGGCATCAGTCCGCTATCGGACAAGATTCAGGCCGTCCAAGAGTGGTCGGAGCCTCGGAACGTCACGGATGTCCGCTCGTTCCTCAATCTTACCGGCTACTATCAGCGCTTCATCAAAGGCTACTCCAAGATCGCGGCCCACTTGAACAAGCTTCAGTACGAGGATCGACCGTTTGACTTCGGAGAGGAGGCGCGAGGATCATTCTTTGCTCTCAAAGCCGCGCTATTGTCTGCGGAGGTCTCGTGAATCTACGACCCGCTCGCACCTACGCGTGTCACTACGGATGCGTCAGGCTATGACATTGGTGCAGTCCTCGAGCAACATGATGGTGCGGACTGGCACCCGGTCGAGTACTTTAGCAAGAAAGTGCCCCTCGTGCATTCCATTGACGATGCACGCAAGAGAGGGTCCTCGCCTTCATCCACGCGCTCAAGCGGTGGCGGTATTTCCTCCTTGGTCGAAGCCAATTTCGATGGGTAACAGACAACAATCCGTTGGTCTTCTACAAGACACAAGACACCGTCAACAGCACCATCGCTCGATGGATGGCTTTCATCAACCTGTTCGACTTCTTTCCCGATCACATTCCCGGGAAGTCGAACCGTTTTGCGGATGCTCTCTCACGACGTCCGGATCATTGTACCGCAGTCTACTCGACGTTCGAGATTGACGACGACCTGCGGAACAGCTTCATCCGTGGCTACCAAGCCGGCCTCGAGTTTCTCGACAAGTACGTGAATTGCTCCTCTCCTAATCCGGCTCCTTCTCACTACTGGATCCAAGAGGGGTACTTGCTTGTTCACACGCGGGGGAAGGACCTTCTTTGCGTACCGAGTGACCCTCACTTGCGTACACGGCTTCTTGGCGAGTTCCACGACGCTCCCGCCACTGGACATTTTGGAATCAATCGCACGATTGGCCGACTTCGCCAGCGATTTTCGTGGCCTGGCCTTCTCGGCGACTTCACGTGCTATTGCGAGTCATGCGAGGTTTGCCGATGCTGCAAATCCTGCAACCATCATCCGTACGGCGAGTTACAACCATTGCCAGTCCGGTTGAGGCGAAGGGAATTGATTGCCATGGACATCACCGGCCCGTTCCCCAAGCACAGGAGAGAGAAGGAGATGACAAGATCGAAAGGAGGAAGTTCGGCGTTGTTGCGATGCACTCACACCAGAGATAAAGATCCGCAACAACAAGGGCGCATTCGTCGTTAATTCCAATATGGCCCGAGGCCAATCACTCACTCAACTCCAATCATCGATCCCCATACCCGCACCGGCGATCCCGGCCGTCTCGTGCTAACTCTTACCACTGCGATCGTCACCCTGCCGACGTAAACTCGACGCGGTTCGCCCAGATCCCACAGTCCGTCGTGGCGATCAAGCGCGCAACCGGCCAGCCTATCGTCAGCCCGACAGGACTTTCCGACTGGCATCCAAACACTCTGCCTAGCCACTGCTTCCCGGAAGCTGGCTCAGGAGTCGAGAATGTAAGAGAGTTTTGCGGACGCGTTTGCGGAATTTATAGCAGCGAGGGAGACAAGGGAGGGAGAATGTAGGGGGAAAGTCGAAGTGTAAGAGGAGAAGTAGGAGGAGAAGACTTTGAGAAGAGCGTTTCGTGGAAGCCATGTTGATCCTTTGGTACTCGGCAATGGCCCAATCAGACTCGTCGCGCAATAGGCAGATCCTACTGTTCCACGCGTCTGATTGGTGGGCCTGAGTGATTGAAGGATCGACCGGACTTCACAAGCGTTGCTCGAAGGGCGAGAAAAGAAAAGGCGCAAGAAGTAGCGCAAGACGGGTCCAAGATTCAAATGATCAAGAAAGGGAAATGGGCGCGCACGAAGAGCAGAGCGGGAGAGAGCGAGCGGGAGAAAAACAGTTACGAGGAGAGAGGGAGAGGAGGAGGAAGAGAAAGGGAGCGCGGGAGAGAGTGATGCGGGGGACAGAGAGGAGAAAGCTGTGCATGCGCGGCGCCGTCAACAAAAAAGAGAAAAAGGCACCGAGACAGTTACAGCTTGCCTACATCCTAAACCAATTCAAAATTGAAATCACCATATCCGCACGCGAAAAAGCGACGCGGTAAAAGAAAGCCCTACGCCTATTCGTATTCCCACAAAATTCCAAGAGTTTTCCCCAATGCGACCGAGAACATTCACACACAAAAAGGACACGTCGAAGTTCCGCTTATCCCGGAATTTTCAGCTGCCGGGCCCAATTCCCAGTGCGCTCACTAAGGCGCGCGTAAATTCCTATGCATTTCCCGACACGCAAAAGAAAAAAAAAAGCAGAACCGAAGAATCACACAAGCTTCCGAAGGATGGGGGGCCAGAACGTGGCACCCGAAATCAAGAAAGCGAAACGGGGTCTTTATGGGACGGGTGTGATACAATCGAACAGGGTACGAAAGATAGCACGGGTTCGGGACGTAGTTCGTCACATGAATTTGGACACTCCTGTAGTAGCCTGTATGTTTCCTAAAATCGTGGCGCCTTAACGGGCACGACTCTAGGAAGTACTGGTATGATAACTGTGAATGAAACTCTTTGTCGTGGAGGCATTTTCATGTTATCGGAACTTAATCCTTTTTATAAGCGTTTCCTTTTTTTTTTTTTTTTTTTGACAAGCATATGCTCCGATCTATATTGATTGGGGGAGCAGCACCTGCTGGAAACGGGGCCACCGTCCCATGATACATGAGCTTCACAATGTCTGGATGCATTGAACGACAAAAGTCTTAGAATAAAACTGTCTGAATGTCCGACCATTCCCTATCTTACTGACTGAAATATTCTGAGCCTCACACCGGGGGCCAAGTCCCGCTTACCCGAATGACTGATTTCCGACCGCAGATTTCAAAGATCAACGACCAGAAATAAAGGATCAGTGTGAGTGGGACTTGGCCCCCGGATGCTTGAAGTTGCTCGCCTGGTGCCAGGCCTTCAGTGGTCCTCAATAGTGTGYGACCTCTTCATGTTGCTGATATCTGATATCACACCCTGGGGGGCACAGAGGGGGGGTTAAAACTTAAGACCTTGGGCAGGCAGAATACTAGTTTTCATTGTTACTCATTTGCCCTCGCTGACAGCAGGATGGTGGAGAGGGGGGGGACACAAGGTTTGTTCCTTTTTTTTTTTCTTCTGTTTGTTTGTTTGTTTGTTTGTTTGTTTGAAGGGTCCATCTATTGGTGGGGAGCAGCACCTGCTGGAAAAAGGGTCAAGAGTCCCATCACAGATCTTGTGATTGTATTTGTGGGCCTGTYGAGTACATATAAGACTGAGATTCCAGAGACTCCTGTCTGTGAGCAGCATTGATGACCCTGAGGTACAGGAGATTAACCTCCCTTGCTAAATTGCTAATGGGGGTCACCTCTTCAGCCTACATCTGACCACGGCGGCAGATCTGTGATCTTACCTCATTGACAAGGCTCTACTAGCAATCCACCATTTGGCATTTACGATAACATASTCTCCACCTGCAGTGAMGCCAACAACGCAAACGAACACATAGGCCCGCGTTGCACGTGCATGTCCCATGGCAGTCATGGCTGGACGTGCATGCAGGCTGCAGAGCCCTGCCACGAGTGAGCGGCAGGTGGCCGCCAGAGAATGGCATTGCATGAGGCTTGTTACGATTGACGAGCTGAGCAGCCGTCGACGTCCTAGCTCCTGTCGGGCTAGGACGCAGGCTGAAGGGAGGCCGCCCACACGCTGCACTGGCATATAGGCGAGCAGGGCGAGTGGGCAGGGATCTTGGCCAATGCAGGCATTGCCGGCACGCTGCGCAAATGCGAGGTGCAAGGCAGTGTAAAGCTGCGCTGGGCAAGGGCAGCAGGCAGCGCTAATGTGGAGGTGCACTGCCTGGGTGCTGGGCGCTGGTAGCCATAGCCTGGCTGTGTGAGGGCGCAGGGGAGGTGGGGGCGAAGGTGTGGGTAACAAGGGAGAGTGGGGGGAAGAGGACACGTACCTGGTGAAGAGGGGAGGTCGGCATTGGTGTTGACATCATCACTCGCTGGTAGTCAAGTTGTCTGGTTGCTTTTCATTGCTGTAGTTGTAGCTGTAGCTGTAGAGTAGATAGGGTGCCTGGCGCCACTCATGAGAGAGAGCTACATTGGGTTATGCTGTTGGTGTTGCCCTGTAGGGCATGGACATTGACTCACGATTCTTCTGTATCATTCTCAATTGGATGGTTACTCGGTTCCATTGTACTATCTGCTTTGGCTTTGACGACTTGGACTTCAGTGTGATTTTGCATTCTGGATTTCTATGCTTCGTCCATACTCATGTTCCTTGCAGATCGTAGTACTCAATTTAACTACGCCTCAGGTTTGCTACTTCGAGTGTCCAATGTTGGTTTTGTGCGACGTGGAAAGACGCAATAATTGAATTCATGTCGCTAATGACAACCTGCATGAACCATTTACGAACTCTATCATATATGAGCTTCATATTGCTATAGAATAGTCTGGGGAAAAAGACTGAGCTGAGAATTCTTGCCCTAGGGATACGACTTCCTCCTGTCCTGTCCACATTATCGTTCTTGGAGTCTCTCTCTCTCTCTCTCTCTCTCTCTCTCTCTCTCTCTCTCTCTCTCTCTCTCTCTCTCTCTCTCGCTTGCACACGCAAGCGCACGAAATGTCGAAATTTGCAGGATGAGCATGAATCTTATGCCAGAGTGTGGGAAGGTTCATTGTTGCTATTCGTTTCCCCCCCCCTCCCCTTCCTGCACAACGCCATTACCGGGGGTGATAAAAACATCCTCCCCTAGCGTGCGATCCGGGTGCCCTGCGGGTACAAAAAGCAGTGAAGTCCACCGTYCGTCTTACGGGGGGTCRCCTTACGGACCGTCCGAATGGATGGACGGATGTTGTGTGGTTATGGTTGGTTCCCGTTTGAAGCTGCCAGGGTCCAGGGGCAGAGTGCCAGGGGGGGG